GATGAGCCCTATAATCAGTGGCAGGCTGGGCTGTAGCTGTTAGCAGTGCAGAATAGTCCTGGCAATGAAGTGTGACTTGTGATGAGCCCGATAATCAGTTGTAGAAGGGGCTGTAGCTGTAAGCAGTGCAGAATAGTCCTAGCAATGACGTGTGACCTGTGATGAGCCCTATAATCAGTGGCAGGCTGGGCTGTAGCTGTTAGCAGTGCAGAATAGTCCTGGCAATGAAGTTAATAAAGACCGGTCACTGCTGCTCCCTCTCCTTGTGCGGGGTGACTGGTCTTGTCTCCGCCCCTTCCTCTAATAAAGACCAGTCACTGCTGCTCTCTCTCGTTCTGCAGGGTGACTGGTCTTGTCTACGCCCCTTCTGTAGTGGGTGGAGCCTGCTGGGTCCCTCCCACAGCTCTGCTCTCTGCACAGGTGATGGACAGCACAGCGATGATGTCACTGCCACTTTTACAAGTGTGTGTAAAGGCATTTGGTGCACACAAAGTGGATTTATATCCTTTGTGACCTTTGAAGGATACATTTCAAGGTTTTTGCATCTGGAGTTCAGCTTTAAATCCTAAATCTCAGGTTGCCCAGGCACTGCAAGGGTTTACTGCTCCTTTATGTCTAGGACAGGGGTGGGCAACTCCAGCCCTTCAGCTGTGCTTTAACTACAAATTCCATGATGCCGCTGGGAGTCATGCCTGAGGCTGCCAATCTTGCAATGCCTCATGGCACTTGTAGTTCCACAACTGCTGGAGGACCAGACTTGCCCACCCCTTGTCTATGGTGAAGAGACCTTTTACTCACCTTATTCCCCGCTTCCCTGACAGTCGGCGCTCACCTCTCTCCCCTCCATCAGCGTCCTCACATACAATGAAGGGTTGCGAGCTCTGCATTAGACGGACGTGATGATGTCAGCAGCCTGCCAGAGAGCAGGAGGGGGGAAGAGGCTGCAGGAGCCGGTCTTGGATCCTGCAAGAGCGGGGATCTGGTAAATAAAAGTCCTCTACACCCCTAGACAAAAATCACCCATTACCCATGCAGTGCTGGGGGGGAGGGGAATGGGCACTACAATGCATTGCAGAGGGGGCTGTAGATTTGGAATAGCTTTGCTGATGAAGCGTGACTTATGATCATTTTTTATTAGCCTATAATCAGTTTCAGAAGGGGCTGTAGCTGTTAGCAGGGCAGAATAGTCCTAGCAATTAAATGTGACCTGTGATGAGCCCTATAATCAGTTGCAGGCTGGGCTGTAGCTGTTAGCAGGGCAGAATAGTCCTAGCAATTAAATGTGACTTGTGATGAGCCCTATAATCAGTTGCAGGCTGGGCTGTAGCTGTTAGCAGTGCAGAATAGTCCTAGCAATGAAGTGTGACTTGTTATTAGCCCTATAATCAGTTACAGAAGGGGCTGTAGCTGTTAGCAGTGCAGAATAGTCCTAGCAATAAAGTGTTACCTGTGATGAGCCCGATAATCAGTTGCAGAAGGGGCTGTAGCTGTTAGCAGTGCAGAATAGTCCTAGCAATGAAATGTGACTTGAGATGAGCCCGATAATCAGTTGCAGAAGGGGCTGTAGCTGTTAGCAGTGCAGAATAGTCCTAGCAATGAAATGTGACCTGTGATGAGCCCTATAATCAGTTACAGAAGGGGCTGTAGCTGTTAGCAGTGCAGAATAGTCCTAGCAATGAAATGTGACTTGTGATGAGCCCGATAATCAGTTGCAGAAGGGGTTGTAGCTGTTAGCAGTGAAGAATAGTCCTAGCAATGAAGTGTGACTTGTGATGAGCCCTATAATCAGTGGCAGGCTGGGCTGTAGCTGTTAGCAGTGCAGAATAGTCCTGGCAATGAAGTGTGACTTGTGATGAGCCCGATAATCAGTTGTAGAAGGGGCTGTAGCTGTTAGCAGTGCAGAATAGTCCTAGCAATGACGTGTGACCTGTGATGAGCCCTATAATCAGTGGCAGGCTGGGCTGTAGCTGTTAGCAGTGCAGAATAGTCCTGGCAATGAAGTGTGACTTGTGATGAGCCCGATAATCAGTTGTAGAAGGGGCTGTAGCTGTTAGCAGTGCAGAATAGTCCTAGCAATGACGTGTGACTTGTGATGAGCCCTATAATCAGTGGCAGGCTGGGCTGTAGCTGTTAGCAGTGCAGAATAGTCCTGGCAATGAAGTGTGACTTGTGATGAGCCCGATAATCAGTTGTAGAAGGGGCTGTAGCTGTTAGCAGTGCAGAATAGTCCTAGCAATGACGTGTGACCTGTGATGAGCCCTATAATCAGTGGCAGGCTGGGCTGTAGCTGTTAGCAGTGCAGAATAGTCCTGGCAATGAAGTGTGACTTGTGATGAGCCCGATAATCAGTTGTAGAAGGGGCTGTAGCTGTTAGCAGTGCAGAATAGTCCTAGCAATGAAGTGTGACTTGTGATGAGCCCTATAATCAGTGGCAGGCTGGGCTGTAGCTGTTAGCAGTGCAGAATAGTCCTGGCAATGAAGTGTGACTTGTGATGAGCCCGATAATCAGTTGTAGAAGGGGCTGTAGCTGTTAGCAGTGCAGAATAGTCCTAGCAATGACGTGTGACCTGTGATGAGCCCTATAATCAGTGGCAGGCTGGGCTGTAGCTGTTAGCAGTGCAGAATAGTCCTGGCAATGAAGTGTGACTTGTGATGAGCCCGATAATCAGTTGTAGAAGGGGCTGTAGCTGTTAGCAGTGCAGAATAGTCCTAGCTATGACGTGTCACCTGTGATGAGCCCTATAATCAGTGGCAGGCTGGGCTGTAGCTGTTAGCAGTGCAGAATAGTCCTGGCAATGAAGTGTGACTTGTGATGAGCCCGATAATCAGTTGTAGAAGGGGCTGTAGCTGTAAGCAGTGCAGAATAGTCCTAGCAATGACGTGTGACCTGTGATGAGCCCTATAATCAGTGGCAGGCTGGGCTGTAGCTGTTAGCAGTGCAGAATAGTCCTGGCAATGAAGTGTGACTTGTGATGAGCCCGATAGTTGTAGAAGGGGCTGTAGCTGTTAGCAGTGCAGAATAGTCCTAGCAATGAAGTGTGACCTGTGATGAGCCCTATAATCAGTGGCAGGCTGGGCTGTAGCTGTTAACATGGCAGAATAGTCCTAGCAATGAAGTGTGACATGTGATGAGACCGACAATCAGTTGTAAAAGGGGCTGTAGCTGTTAGCAGTGCAGAATAGTCCTAGCAATGAAGTGTGACCTGTGATGAGCCCTATAATCAGTGGCAGGCTGGGCTGTAGATTTCAGCAGTGCAGAATAGTCCTAGCCATGCAGTGTGACCTGTGATGAGCCCTATAATCAGTGGCAGGCTGGGGTGTAGCTTTTAGCAGTGCAGAATAGTCCCAGCAATGAAGTGTGACTTGTGATGAGCCCTATAATCAGTGGCAGGCTGGGCTGTAGCTTTTAGCAGTGCAGAATAGTCCCAGGGATGGCATGCGATGGTGGCTCGCTGTCTGTG